GGTAGTTTATGTTGTTTATTTTGGTTTATTTGAATAAAAAGCCCTTATCTTCCTGCAATATTGAGTCCTCGCTCCATCCTTCATCCCCAACCCTGACAGTATGAACTGGCCTGTATGAGGACTCAGCGGAGGAAGAGCTTATGTTGTCCACCACCCTCCACTCTCTCCAGCCCCCTCTACCAACGGATCATCCAGTTCAAGGACCTGAGCTCCCTCCGTCAGCGGGGGACTGATGTGAGAAGGTTTGCTCTGGAGTTCAGCGGTGCTGCAGAGGGGTTGGGGTTCAATGATCCGGCCCTCAAGGACCTTTTTAATAGTGCCCTGGATGAGCCCCTCAACTGGTGGCGAATGAGGGGGCTGGACCACCTGACGTTTGGGGGGTTTGTGGAGTTCTTGGCACGTCCCCCAGCTAAGGGGGCGGCAGTGCCTCCCGTGGCGGCTGACGAAGCTGCAGCTGCCCCAGAGGCGGCCGACGAGGCTGCATTGCCCTGCTCTCGGAGACGGAGGAGGGGGAGGAGGAAGAATGGGTCCGCCTCACCGCCCCTAGAGATGGCCGAAGAGGCTGCAGCTCCCCATGAGGCGGCCGAAGAGGCCGCAGCGCCCCCGAAGGTGGCCGATGAGGCTGCAGCGCCCCCAGCGGTGCCTGATGAGGTTGCAGTGCCCACAGTGGTGGCCGAAGAGGCTGCTGCGCCCCCAGAGGTGGCAGACGAAGTTGCAGTGCCCCGCTCTCGGAAACGGAGGAGGAGGAAAAGATGAGTGCCCTGTCGGCGCTGCCCAAGTTCCTTGCTCTGCCGGCTCCACACAAGCTCCTTGCTTTGCTGGCTCCGCCCAAGCTCCTTGCCCTGCTGATGCCGTCCAAGCTCCTTGCCCTGATGCCGGCTCCCTCCTTGATACAGGCTCCACCCTTCCTGCCTGCCAAGCTCCCAGCTCCGCCTTGGCCCCCTGTCAGGACTCCAGAAGCGCTAGATCCCATCTGGTCAGTCCCACCGGCCCCACCCCGGACATCCGCCAGGGCTACTGTACTGCGGGAGCCTCCCTGGTCCGTCCCTCCGGTTCCGCCCTGGCATCCTGCTAGGACTTCTGGACTGCCTGAGCCTCCCTGGCTCAACCCTCCCGCCCCTCCCTGGTCCCTCTAATGACTTTCTGGGCTGTACAGCTGGCACTGGCTTGGCTCCCCTCCCTCCCTCCCCTTTGTCTCTGTGTTTAGATTGTTCCTGTCTTGTGTTGTCTGTTGCGTATCGGTCTTATTGTTTGTTTTGGTCTTGTCATGTCCTGTCTTGTTTTTGGGTGTTCCTCGTTAGGGACTCCAGGTGACGTGTGGGCTAGTGTCAGGGTTCTGTCACTTCGGTCTAGTGTAATTCATGGTTTTGTGACAGAGCCCTGACACTCCCGCCATGTCATTGTTTTCATGTGAGCATGCGGCTTCGAGAGTGCTCGAGCCGTGCTGTACTGCGGGAGCCTCCCTGTCTTGTCTTGTCTTGTGCTGTGTAGCACGCAGCTTGGTTTTTCGCTGGCTGCATGCTATCTTGTCTTGTGCGAACACGCGGCTTATGAGTTATCTCATTAGCTGCGTGTTCGTGTTTTGTTTTGTGTGAGCACATGGCTTTTGTCTTTGTTTCCTGTGTGCCATGTGCTCTCATGTCAATTGTCTTGACCCCACCCATCTTGTTACCTGATTATTGGTTAATTTGCCCCACGTGTTCTCTCGTTACCCTCCTCATTTGCTCTCCATTTATTCTCCTTGTGTTTGCAGTCCTGGGCGAGTTCGTCTTCGCATCTCCCTGGATGTGTCCTGTCGTGTCGTGTCGTGTCCAGATCCTGCCTTGCCTAGCCTTGCCAGCCTGTTTTTCCCCCACGGGGTAGTTTATGTTGTTTATTTTGGTTTTTTTGAATAGAAAGCCCTTATCTTCCTGCAATATTGAGTCCTCGCTCCATCCTTCATCCCCAACCCTGACAAACTACATGTACTTACTATATGGTTAGGATTAGGTTTTGGCTTAGGGTTACGTGCATATAAGTATGCATAATTAATTGTTATTATAATAGTAAGTACGTGTGACGTGTAACAAGGACACCTTAAAATAAAGTGTTACCTGATTTTTATAACCAATAGTTTCTTATAGTTCAATAGTTATTTTTCTTCTTTTTTTTTTTTTTTGGAAGACAGCAGTGAATAATTTGAAATGATCAGTTTCACTGTCATAATAATCACTGTAATACCAAAGCTATTTCATTGAAAACAATAATTGCAATGATAGTTTTATGTGAAAGTAGTCATGGATAAATAAAATACTTATTAAATGAATTACCTTACTTGACTAAATGATTTGTCTTTTTTCCTTCACAGACAGCGCCTTCTGGGGCATTATTGCAAGCTCCAGCTGTAGTTCTGCTTCCTCGTTTGTGGCCGGAGACCTTGCCACCAGAGGATCACAAGTGGATTGGCAAAAGGCTTTTCAAAATGGGATCCAAGGGAAAGCCAGAGCTTCGTGATAACCTCCAGCTCTGGTATTACCCACCACAGCCAGCACTTATCTACAATAAGGCTCCACAGCTCCAGACAGATTCTTTTGTCATTCTCTTCAGCTGTGGATGCTGTACAAGCTGTGGAGGGTTAAGGTTCTCTGTCCCAATCCTGCCTGCGGACAGCATCAGCTGACAGGAGGTGGTCTGCACAAAAGGGCACGGCAGGTTCTAGACATTGACAGAACGTACAATATGGTCACAGAAACCCTCATCTGTACCAAGTGTAGAGCCTCGCATGTGTCCTGGAGTCAGACTGTCCTGCAACAGCTAGATCTGAGCCATCGCTCTGAGTTTAGGGTCATCCTCACACGGAAGTAAGCACACTTTCATTTTGTATCCTGTTGTTAAGCCTTCATCACACATATACAGTGGGTACGGAAAGTATTCAGACCCCCTTAAATTTTTCACTCTTTGTTATATTGCAGCCATTTGCTAAAATCATTTAAGTTAATTTTTTTTCCTCATTAATGTACACACAGCACCCCATATTGACAGAAAAACACAGATTCATTGACATTTTTGCAGTATATATATATATATATATATATATATATATATATATTTGCAAATACTTTACAAATCAACCATTTAAAATACATGAATGCGTTTATTTTGCTTTTTCTAAGGTATGCCTGTGATATGCGGGTCGTCCAGCTCCTGCGTGAGCGTAGTTTAGGCAATAGCCCCACGCAGGTGATCAAGCAGCTGCGTGAAAACCACAGTGAGGAGTGGCTCCAGTGTCTGGCCCGGTACACCACAAAATGTGTTGACTTCCTCAATCAACCCGGGGTGATGCCAGTAAAATTCCAGGAACCTCCAGAGCCTACAGTGGTGCCAAGCTGAAAGGGGCTACTCACTAAGTCCAGCCAACACATCCTAACAAGGCTAGACAAAATCCATGCAAGGACAACATCCACCTATGGCTCTGTCTTGAAGATGGATTCTACTAAAAAGGTTAAGGGGCGGTCACACTGCACTTTTCGCTCCATTGACTTCCATTCATGCGTATGCGAATGCGTCAGACTGGAAACGCAAGCCCATGCAAAAAGTTTCGCATTTTGCTGCATTCCAAAGTTCAAGCTTGGTGAACTCTGATCTGCGAATTCGCATCATGCGAAGCCATGTGACCAACAGCAGATCGATACGTCACGGCATGAAATTGTAGCTGAATTAAAGGAACATAAATTTAAAACTGTAGCACTGCACTGTTTGATTACATTTACAGCATGCTTCATATCATGTCTTATCACAGATCTCTAAGAAGCTGGCTGGGACAGTGAGGAAAATGGGACTCTGGCTTACCTTTGTTGGCACTGAGTTTGGTCAGGGGCTCATAAGTGTGCTGACAGCCCAGGAAGGAGCAGGACTGGACATGATGGTAGATGGTCTGGTGAAAGGATACCAGCAGGCTGGTGTGGTTCCACCTGCTGCGTTGTATGGACTGTGGGTGCTGCACCAAGGTGGGCGAGACCGAGCTGAAAACCAGATTCAGAGTTTGGCCAGATCTCATGATAAGTTTGGACATCTGGCATTTAATGCGCAGGATTGCTTCGGGCTGTACAACTGATGCCCATCAGCTTTAGCCAATCTTCATGTCACGGCTATCAGTGTGCATCTATGAATGGGATGCGGCTGATCCTACTATGCTTTGCAAAGCAAAGAGAGAGCTGTTGATGTCCCAGGGTTGGCCTGCGCTGACAGATGAAGATGTCAACAAGGCTCTACATTGCCGGAGGAGGACCCGTGGAGAGGAGACTACCATCCTAAACATTATTCATAACTTTAAAGCAATACAGTCTTTTAAATAGCAAAGCAAGTGTACTTCAGCATTAAATGTATTATTTTCATACTTTGACTAAGTTAAAGGGGACATCGGATGTAAAATTCACTTTTACGTGGCGTTTGAACTTAAATGTGACCACCCTATAATGATAAAATTCCACCCAGTGCCTTCTTTTTAAAAAAAATCCCCACAAATTATTAGCACTTTCTCAGATCAAGCCGTTCACAGATTCTTGGCAAAGTGATGTAGTTCTGCACAGGCCCCTCCCACAATTGCTGACTGACACTGCTGTTTTAGCACAGACCCACCCCGCTGAGTGAGCTGTCAACAGACGCCGGAGCAGTTCTAGACAAGAATGTGTCGTAAGCGATTGAGGTGTTTTGTTGTCGGATGTAATAATGAACATAGCAGTCGTCATTTACTCCCGACATCTGAGCCACTGAAGACGCTGAGGATTATTTTTGTTTTTGAAGGGAATGCGCCCCCTGATATACCTAAATGCGCCTATTTTCGCTCAAATCATTTGTGATCCAGCTTCACCTACAGAAGGAGTATAAGGTTTTTTTTATGAATCTTTGCAAATCGCCTTTCCTAATAATGTGCTAGTTAACGGGGCTGGCTCCAGGCATGGGTGGGCTGAGCCCACCCAATCAGAATTAGATAAAGATTGTGTTCATTTTTTTTTTTTTTGTGCAGTGATTAAAACCAGTCTGAAGTGGACTGTATTTTGAGAAGTATAAGATATAGCTGGAGCATATATATATATATATATATATACATATATATATACACATATACACACACATATATACACACATATATATATATTCACATATATATATATATACACATTTCACCCAAAAATGTTAATCCAGTCATCATT